AACTTCTCTCGCTCGTGAGATTTTCTTTACTGTGCAAAGGCTTGCTTTAAAACTGCAGGCTCCCAGGGAGGGGGGCAGGGGGAAATGCTGCCCATCTGTCCCCTTCCAAAGCAACCTTGCAGGTTTTCAAGATCATCCGGAGAGGCGTTTTTTAAAAAGAAAAACCCTGCAGGCACCCAGCGACAGGGGCTAGGAGCTAGGAACCCGGAAGTTAATTACTTCTGGGTTCACTGACGAACTGGTTCGCACGAACCGGTGCGAACTGGGAGGAACCCACCCCTGAATGTAACTAACTTTTTACTAAACAGTCAAATACTTCTACTATGCTCTGATTATTAAAGTGCCATATAGATGAGTAAGGGGTACTCTTCATTGCAGTCAATAAACTAATTGCTATTTAATAAATTTAAGCTTTCCACTCCTGTTCTGAATATTAGAATAGAGCAAATAAAATATATATCTAATGTAAACAGAATATTATGAATTTTCTACTACTAACATCCTTGAAAAGTACATTAAACCATAATTTGAAAAACCTACCAAGCTTCTGGATTTTCTCTACTTAGTTAACATAGATGAAGAATTCATTGCATTAGTCCATCCTAATACTGTTCTTCAATTCCATCACACATCAAACAAAATTGGAAACCCTTATCCAGAATGGATAAACTGTATTCTTTCATACATTAGGAAATTTAATCTTCAAACAACCTCAACCAGAATATCTAATAGTGAATGATGCTGAGCAACAATGTTGAGAAAACAAACAATTATTTACCATAAACTACAGTATATTCAATAAATGTAAGGGGAATAATAAAACTATGTATTAATGAAACCTCAACTGAGAATCTCAAATGCTAGAAACACAGAATTTGCTGCTCTGAAATAGTAAAATAACCACTTGGTAGTGCTCATTGTAATTTAAATAAAATAACCTATAGCTGGAATTAACTATGTAAGCATTATTTACCAGCCATTATAGAAGTTTTATAATATATAACATAAAACTACATAGCATGTTTAAACATTCATTTATTAAAATTCTACTATAAGTTCAACCACATCACTTATTCCTTTATTAGAAATCTACTATGAATACAAACACATCTGTCCTTGTTGAGAAGTGTTGATAATTTTCCTAATAAATTGCACAATTAAAGGGCTACATGATCTACATCTATTTCTGAGTGTCCTAAAAGGCAATCTGATAATTTGAGTCTCTTATTAAATGCTGTTAGTTGCGAAGTCATATCCGATCGATTGCAACCTCATGGACAATGTTCGTCCTAGCCTTCCTGTCCTCTATCATCCCCTGGAGTCCATTTAAGCTCATGCCAATTGCTTTGGTGACTCCATCCAGCCACCTCATTCTCTGTTGTCCCCTTATTTTGCCCTCAATCTTTCCCAGCATTAGGCTCTTCTCCAGTGAGCCCTTCCTTCTTATTAGGTGGCCAAACTATTTGAGTTTCATCTTCATGATCTGGCCTTCTAAAGAGCAGTCAAAGTTAATCTTCTCTAGGGCTGACTGGCTTGATTGCCTTGCAGTCCAAGGGACTAGCAGGAGTCTTCTCCAGCACCATAGTTCAAAGGCCTCAATTATTTGGGCTCAGCCTTTCTTATGGTCCAACTTTCACAGTCATACATTGAAACTGGGAAATCCATAGCCATGACTATATGCACTTTTGTTGGCAGGACAATGTCTCTGCTTTTTAGTATGGTGTCTAGATTCGCCATAGCTCTCCTCCCAGGAGCAAGTATTATTAAATAGTAGGATATAAAATGAAGCATCCATTTTTTGTAAAAAATGTATTATTTATAAGTGGTGCAATGTGCATTTTATAACATTCACAAGAAACTAAAAATTGTGTTCAGATTTATTTAGTGTTCCTCAGACTAATTTTCAGCAGTAACTAAACTATTCTGAAGGGGCATAATGAAAAATGCTAGCTGCAAAAGTCATAGCCAAACAAAAAATATTAAAATCTTATCCTTTTTCTTTCTTATCAACAAAGAATTGCAGAGAATTCATTTATAGTTGATTTGATATAAGTCCCATGGAATTAAAAGATATTAAATATATTGAAATACAATATGGTATCTTTTGGCTTATATTAACTTGTTTGTAGACTTGTAGTAGAAATTAGACCATGGTAAACTTTAAAAGAGAGCTTACAGGGCTCATTTTAGAATAAATATTACCGACTTCAAAGAATTTAATTTCAAATATTTTCAGTCTTATTTGTTTCACTTGTTATTACAACTATCAGCATTCACAATATCTTCAAAAAAGAGGGATAGGAGAGATGCAAGTTCTTGTTTGCTTGATTTCAATATTAAGAATCTCAATAATAAACATTAAAATAACTTTTGAAAAGAAGCTAATGTGTTTTTCATAGGAATAACCAGCTAAAAATGTTTAAAGAATATTTAAGCAATAACTTTTATTATCTAAACGTCAATGAATTTGATAATTGCCTTCCAGTTAAACTATTTTATACTTTAACAAAAAAGGCTTAATACTTAAGTTATTAATTTAACCCTAATTTAAAGCTTTAAGTACTTGCCAACAATCCACTGATAATGACTGATAAATATTTAGTGCAGCATATTTCTGGAAATGTTTAACATAAAAAGCAAAGAATAGAGACTTCAATCTGTATATAGATGGGTGACATTTAGATTTTAATCTCTTTAATGCACACAGACAAATAAGAGTATCTCTAAATAGGATTGAACAGATACAGCACTCAAGGGTAAAACCAATCAAAGAAGCCAGGAACTAGAGGAGGAGTACTAAAGTACTAGTTACAACGAATACTAAACGTACCCATTGTGAAAACAGCTGGGGACCGGGACAAGAAGAGGCACTTGGATTTATAGCAAAATAGAGCGCAAGTGCTCTTCTGTAGTGTGGCCTTCTGTAGTGAAACACTGGGCAAAAGTGTGTGTGTGTGTTAACGAATTCTTAACGTCTATTTCCCACATTAACGAAATGGAACATTCACGTTCAAACTATACTCGCGCACTTCCAACGGCTCAGCAACGAGCAACGCTGTGGAGAACGGGGATGGGGTGGGGGTGGGGTCATTGCTTTCAAGCCCTCCTTTAACTTTAAAGGCACCTGGAGTTTGACCGCTACTTGACTGAGCTGAGTCCAGGAACACTCGCTTATTTTGGCCCCGAATCCAAACCCCCGGTCTCCGTCTCGGCTACAAGCGGCGAGCCTCTCGCCTCTAGCGGGACAACAGCGCCGGCATTGAAACTTTACTTGGGAACGAAGACAACCGGGATCCGACAGAGAGCAACGAGTAACTTTTCCAAAGTACAAGGATCCAACGATCTTGGGAACCGAGCACGGAGGGACTTTCACCATCTCCGCCCCCCACCCCGAGTAAAAGCGAAGGAATAATCATCTGGTCACTCACGATCGATCCGTGACCACTAGCATCCTCCCGCCTACATAAAGCGTCTTCAGGGCTCCCCTCGGATTCGCCTTCATCGCGCTCCCTGCAGTACTCGTCTTGCCGCCGCGCCAGGCTGGGCTCCGGCATTGCCGTCCGAGCAGCGCATCCAATAAGCCGCTTGGGCGCCCACCTCCCGCTCGGGCGGACGTTAAGCTCCTGCTGCTGACGCGCCACCGCCACCATCGCGCCAACTGCAGCGCCAGCCCAGGGCGCAGCGCTCTATAGGCTCCTCAGGATCAGGGCGGGGCGGAGACCAAGCCAAACGCCTTACCGTTCTCAGACGAGGCGGGATCTCTTCCGGCCCAGCTGTTTAATCCTCTCTTCGGGAAAGGACCGCTGGTTTGCGTGACGGGCTGGGGCTGAGCTCCCACTTGTAGCACGCGAAGGTTCTTTTTTGCCCTACGACAGCCCAGGTGTGGCTAACTGAAGGCCCGCGGGCCGGATGCGTCACGCGCAGCCCACGCCAACCACGGCTCCGCAAAGGCCAAAACAAATAAACACGTCACGCAAGGCGGTCGAGTTTGTCAAGAATTCTCTAATAAGCCAAATTCGAACAAGAGTTTAGCTTAATGTCGGTTTACTTTCCGATTCTGCAATTGTAGAATCAAGTAAATGAAAAAAGTATCTTTAATAAATGCAACTCTATAGTAAGAGTTTACATTTACATTCAAACTATATATAATACTGGATTGTGCGGTTTGTAGCCCATCCTCTTCCTTCTGACTCCCAAGTTTCTGTAATAATACTTGGCTATTCCTAACAATGATATTGCCTGAATTTCCATTGTGGAGTTGTCTTGGCAGGAATTGTGTAGCTAAGTTTCCCATCATACTAAGCCAGTGACTGGTGATCATCAGATAACAAATATTCTGGATGCTTCATATGCATTCTTCAAGGTGACTGCATACATAATCGTTTTTGGTGTTTTGATAAGTAGCTGAAAGATTCAGTTTGTAGGGCTCCCTCCTGTAGCTTTAATATGTCTGCTGCTGAATAGTGCTGGCTGTAACTAACTCTCAATACAGAATTTAATTAATCATCTACTGCCATTCTACCTTCTGGATTAAAACGACTATAGTTCTACCACAACAAGAAGATGTACAATCTATAGTGCTTGACAGATTTTTTTAAAAGATCAAATGACCTGCCAAGACACACTCTTCCACCTGATCAGTGACCAGCATCAATTGCTACCATTTCTCTTCCAATAGTTCATCTTTTATTAAGATAAAATGAGATTGCATAGGATAGCAAAACCATTGATGGCTAACTCCATTTCAATCTTTGTATCTTTCTGAGCCCGGAAGCTGTATATCAGTGATTAGGATATTTTTTCAGAGCCCAGTAATCACAGTATGAACCCTCCTGGCAGCCCTTTCTTAGCCTCTATGAAATTGCCTTGTTTCATCCTCAACTCACAAATGAGGCAATGATTCAAGATAACGATGAATCGCGAGGTTGAACAACTAGCCTCGTGGTGCGACCATAATTATCTGCAACTGAGCACATTCAAAACTGTAGAAATGGCAGTAGACTTTAGGAGAAACCCTCCCATACTACCACCTCTTACAATACTAGACAACACAGTACCAACGGTAGAGTCCTTCAAATTTCTAGGTTCCATCATATCTCAAGTCCTAAAATGGACACCTACCATCAAAAACATCATCAAAAAAGCACCAGAAATAATATTCTTTCTGCACCAACTCAGAAAGCTCAAACTGCCCAAGGAGTTACTGATACAGTTCTACAGAGGAATTATTGAATCTGTCATCTGCACCTCTATAACTGTCTGGTTGGTTCTGCAACCCAACAAGACAGACACAGACTTCAGAGGATAATTAGAACTGCAGAAAAAAACAATTACTACTAACTTGCCTTCCACTGAGGACCTGCATACTGCACAAGTCAAAAAGAGGGCTGTGAAAATATTTACAGACCCCTCACATCCCGGACCTAAATTGTTTCAACTCCTACCCTCAAAAGGAGAATTGCACATCAGAATAACTAGACACAAGAACAGTTTTTCCCAAACACCATCAACTCTGCTAAACAAATAATTCCATCAACACTGTCAAACTATTTACTAAGTCACTAAGCATTACTATTAATCTTCTTATCGTTCCTATCATCTATCTCTTCCCACTTATGACTGTATCACTGTAACTTTGTTGCTTGTATCCTTACGATTTATATTGTTTCCTAGTATGATTTGATTGCTTATTTGTACTCTATTACTATCATTAAATGTTGTACCTTACTTACGATTCGTGATTAATGTATCTTTTCTTTTATGTACACTGAGAGCATATGCACCAAAGACAAATTCCTTGTGTGTCCAATCACACTTGGCCAATAAAGAATTCTGTTCTGTTCTATCCTATGAGATAGCGTCTTCCTTCACCTATCCTTACCACTTTCTATAGAGGGACAGTCGACAGCATCCTATCATATTGCATTACTATCTGGTTTGGAAGCGTTACAGATAATTTCTGGGTTATGAGCATTCCCTTAGTGAACATTCAAAGTTACATGATAAGCACCCCCCCCCCCGGCATTTACGAACAAGTCCCAAAATTATGAATATTGCAGTACCACAGTAGTTGTTCGCTCTTATGAACAACCAGAGGTTCTGCACTATTTACCCTGCCTATTACCCCCACCCCACCTGGGTCGTCACAGGTACTTCACCTGTGGAGACTCACTTACCTTGCAAAGATCTCTATCACAGTTTATTTGCCTACTTCATTGCTTTTGGTGCATTCACAGAAAACAGAGGGCTAATGTACAACAAGATCTCGTGCTACTGATCTCGTGTGATCTCGCACTTTAGGCTACTATTCTCTGCAAATTGAGGCCTGGACATTTGCAAATGGAGGGAAGGCTTTGTCTTACAGAGTACAAGAGGTTTCCCTCCTGTCATGGACTCAGGATAGTTTTGCACAGCAAATATTAAGCTTCACCAGAGTTCTTCACTTTAAACAAAATTTAAAAGTATTGTTCACATCCTTCTATGTAGTACAATGGGGAAAAGTGTTAGCAAAGTCACAATTTCACAATGGCTAAGTCATAACATAACATAAAAACCCATCTGTGTCATATTATTTGTAATGCACTTTCCATACTTGCCTCTATGTAGAATTTTTTTAGTCTTCAACAGCCCATAGAATGCATATCTTTCAAGATACTTTGCACTGATGATTCACTGGTTCTCAAATCTCTCTTACTTTGAACAGTTCTGAGTCTTTTCTGTGGAGGAAAAAATGGGAGTGCCTATTGTATAAATTCTCTAAATTCTACAGAGTAGATTCATTTCAACTGTAATTTTGGTGCAAATAATTTTATTAAGATTTCTGCCTTGTAACATATGCCTATGTGTGGTGTGGTGTGGCTAGCCATGATATCCTGAAGATTTCCTTCTGCTATTTTTTCCATTTTCCTTTGTTACTATTGGTTGTTATAGTAGTAGCATAGTAACATTGCATTCAGAAGTGAAGTATCATTATTATTGTTCATTTGTTCTGTATTAGTGAAGAATTGAGAAGCAATCATTCTTTTGCATTTCAGGTTTAGAAGGAGAATGCCCCTTCTTGTTCAGATAAGACATTTATATATTTTGTCTGCAGGAATATGACTGTGCAGGTATCACAAAATTCTCTGGAACTAAAACAAAAAACACAGACAATTCAGTATTACCTTTGTTAGCCCATGTAGATACTTCCAGATCTATCAGCATGCCTCAAAGTTACATGAAAAAACTGAAGGCACATTATTATTTTTTTCCTTTTTGACTGGGTAAGCCAGCTAGACATCACAAGGCCATGCTGTGATCTAGAAGTTATTTGTTGGTGTATAATTTGTGAATGTTAAAATATTTGCTAATAATAAGATTGTGTCCTTGGAAATTCTTTACTCAACAAGTAACAGTTTATATCAAAAATTCCTGAGCTTAGATTCAATTGTTTTATTATTAGGACAACACAATTATTCTACTGGCTTCACAGTATAATGAGATCACTTGGAAATAAAAAAGATGATAAAGAATATTGGATAATTCCAATATAATTGCTTTTCAAAAAAATAAATGCTTAGATAAGACTCTCAGTTAATTTGAAATTGTCTCAATTGGGAAAAGTAAGTATGTATTTTTACAATCAGCAGTAAAAATTCTCTGTTCAAACTTAGGCTAAAATAAAAGCTAAAGACTACACAGGTAAGCCATTTATTGTAAGACAGAACAAAGAGTTGCAAGTAACAGTAAATTCAGTCAATAATGGGGAAAATAAGCTTCTTGAAGTACCAAATATGCATTATATGAATTCTTGCAAAAAGCAGCTCATTTTTTAAAAAAATAGTAAGGTAAACATGAATTTTTTAAAATCCCACTGGGCTAGAAGAGACATAAAATTCTATTTTTTAAAAGTGCTGAGATTTATTCAAATTTACATTTGCACATTTTATTCTATTGCACTTATTCATTCTTTCCTATGATTTGTTTATTTTCTGGAGTTCATGAAGATACATTCATTCACAAAAAAAGAATACCTGCATGTGGAAAAATGTAGTTTTGAAATAGTTTCACACGAAGTAGGAAAAACAAGCTTTCATCAAGTACATCAAGAAGAAAGGGGGTGTATTCCTGAAATGTTAATCTGTACTGTATACTCAGGGCTTTCTTGATGCGAAGTAACATTCAAAAATATTCATGCCAGCTGCATGCAAAACGATACAATGAATAACCTCAGATTTACCATAAGTAAAATGGTTTCTGTACCTAGGCACCATTCAATTTGTTTGAAGACTATCTTACCCTTTTTCTTTCCTGGAACATGGACCAATTATTTCTTTGCCTCCTCCCTAACTCACTACTGAAAAACTTCTAAATTTTCTTCAATTTTCAGAAATAAATATTGAAGATATAATTATTCATACTTAAAAGTTGATATGGTCTTTAGAGATTTATCTTTCAAAAAGTTATAATCTACCCAAACAACTGAGATAACATGAAGCAACTGTATAGTGGTATATAATGAATTGACAACTAAGGAATATTCCAGTTTCTTTCATATGCTGGTGAACAATTCCGTTCCTCTTATTCG